ATGTATTTTAAAAAGTCTGCAGAAATGTATGTGACATTCCCAGCCCGCTGCATACTTGCATCTGCACGAATACACATCTCCAGTACTACTTCAAATTAATACACCAGACAAAATAACTCAATCTCACTACAAGCACATAAATATGATGAATAACGCTGCGTCCTCTGACACACATTAACACTCAAACATATTTCCATTAACCTTTTCTAACACCAAGATGTTAAATCAGGATATACACGTGAATGTGACCCACAATTTCTCAATGGCCACCAATTCTTGCAAGGGTTTCATCATTTTAAATTCCCTTTTAGTTCTTTTTTCCCACAGTTTCAATGGAAAAGTATTCCAAAAACACTTTTTTTTTGGCGTTTTACTTGAGGGTACAATGAAGACGGCTCATAATCAGGCCTTATAGGGTTAGAACCTACAAGCTTTTTGTTAATGACGCTTTATCTTTAACCACGCTTTATTAGCCATACCTCAGGAACGACATGCTTGTTTGTGCATATGTGTTCATGACCCAGAGCCATCACATTACTAAACATATAGGCTAGTCCTCTTAAAACACATATTGGCCTGGTTTCACAGACAGGGCTTAGGTTAAACCAGGATTAGGCCATAGTTCAATTGGGACATTTAAGTAGCTTTTATAAATTTGCCTTTGATAAAAACACTACTGATGTGCATCTTCAGACAAATCAATGGCACTGACAGATTTTAAGACCAGTTTCTTTCAGTTAAAACAGCCCAGACATGCGTTTTAGTCTGGGACTAGATCTTACTGATCCTAAACCTTTGAACAACAGTGTATATAATTCATAAAAATAATAAAGATACATATAAACATATACCTATATATTTAATTTCAGTGTGATTTTTTATTAATAAGGGTCAGTTTGACATGCAAATATCATAATATTTCATAATGATAATAATAGTAAATGCAACCAGCACTCCAGAACAGAATGCAGAGTGTTGTCAGTTTGTTGTGATTGGTCGAGAGTAAGAAGCGAGCTCTGAACTGAGAAACGCACGCAGGTTCAGGTCACAGATCTGCAGAGGTCGCTCGTTATGTGCTTACAAAAACACATCATCAAATATACACTTAAAAACAGGGTTATTTTAGTATTATTGAGATATTAGTTTTTGTTAATATTTTGAATGTTTTCATTTTTATATTTTAGATTTTTAAAATAAAGTTTTAGTCATTTTTATTAGTTTAGTTTTTTTAAATATGTATATAGTTTTATTAATTTTCTCTCAGTTTTAGTTATTTTAGTATTAAACTAAATTAAAATGAGATTAGAGATTAGCAACTAGCTGAAACATAATAATCATTTCTATTTTATTTTTCAGTTAAAGACTTTTATTTCCAGTAATAACTGTTTTTTAAGGTTTTAATTTTAGTTCATGATAATAAACCTGCATAAAAACAATTCAAATAAGTCAGACAACAGAAAAGTCATATAAAATTAAAAGCTGATTTTAAAAAAGTATGTTTTACCATAAGATTTGAGAACACAATGTCTGAGCTTGTTTAATATCAGCTGCAAGTGATTTCTGTAGATTAAGAGTAGAGGAACATTACTACACCACAATACTAAAACATACTAAAAGTAAAACAAAAAAGGTTTGGGCTCAAATATCATAATGAGTGTGTTTCAAAGGGTTTCTTTCTCTTTATTTATGAAACAGTTGTGGATAATACTGTGATATGACTGTGGGGTGATATTGTGAAGAACCTATCATCAAAGCTCACAAACAAATGACTGTTTATTCAAAAGCAGCACACTGTAAAATCTTCACTAAACTCAACCTCATATTTAAATAAAACAGACAGACTTTGTTCAGAACAATGCTTGAGTTCAGATGTTTGCAATCGTTGTTATAAAGTGTTGGTTCACTGGGTCATTCTCTCCACTCTGGCGATGATTTTCCGGTCAAACGTGGGCAGGACGACCTCGTCCTCTCGTATCTCCTCGTAAACCGCTCCGCAGGCGAACTCAGCGCTCGCTCTCTTGAAGAAGAACCTGCTGGAGCGAGAGACAGATGAGAGAGACCCGCTCATCCAGAGGAAAGCATCGACTCCTGCGCTGATGAGAGCGAGCGTCTCACCTGAACGGCCCCCTGCGCGTCAGCAGAGACCTGAAGAGACCGAGAGTCACCGCGGAGACACCCTGAACACACGACCGGTATGGGATCACGTCTCCATCATAACAGTACACCACCGTCACACACCTGCAGAGACAGAGAAACCCTGCCAGATCAGGATGAGTTTGTTTCTTCATCAGGTTTGTAGAAATGCAGCATTGCATCAGTGTCTCAGCAATGGATGCTCTGCAGTGAATGGGTGCCGTCAGAATGAGAGTCCAAACAGCTGATAAAAACATCACAATAATCCACAAGTAATCCACAGCACTCCAGTCCAGCAGTTAACATTTCTACAGATCTGACGAAGAAACAAACTCATCCTGATCTGGGATGAACTGAGGGTGAGCACATTTTTAGCTTGTTTTCCACATGTTTTGGCTGAAGTATGCAGTGAATGTGAATCAGCAGATGAATGATGTGGTGAACACTGACTGGTGTGTGTGTGCAGGACTCGTCACGATGCTCTTCACGGTAACGTCACGTGTGTCTGGCCGTGTGCTGATTTCACGCTGCGTATCACAGTCACTGTCCAGCATCTTAAGCGAATGGCACGATGCAAATGCAGTAGTGGCACTAGTGTCTGTTTCTTCTTCCTGTCAGAACAGGAAATGATGCGATTACTCACACAGGTTGTGCTCGGCACTACTTCAGTATGTGTACACTGCGTTTGTCACAATGTGCATCACATAAATACAGCATCACACAATGCATTGTGTTTAAATCCTTCTAGTGTCCAGTGTGATGAAGTAACAGGAAGTGATGTCGAGATGAGGGCGTGGCAGTCAAAAGTGTGTGCAGATGAGCTTGCTTTTTTAACAGCACTAAATGACTGGAGTCCTAAATGATTACTGAAGTCCTGCATACGTCACCAGAGAGAAGACTGACGGTTCACTGGAAGATCCAGTTATGATATTCTGATTAAACATTTCCAGGTAAACATTTTTGGTGCAAAAAAACTTTGATAGCTTTATAATATAAACTCCATAAACAAAATACAAAGATCTGAAAATGCATCTGATGAGCCCTTTAAATCTGTGGCGGTAACTCACTGTGTGTCTCAGCGCTGGAGGGCTTCGAGTTTGTGTTTGTGTCTGCAGCTCCTGCAATCGTCTCATCAGTTCAGCTGCAAAGGTGTGTGGCGTCATCTTCCCCTATTACAAACACACACCTCTTTACTGAGATGAACGAGCTCATATCAAACAAGTCTGATCATACAGAAGGCTTATAGTGAACACAAAGATGTTCTTAAAATTAAATACATGGTTTATTCATTTAATCATTTATTTTCACACATTCATTTCACTCACCGGTGTGTGTGGCAGGTGTGTGTGTCTCGTGTCTCTCTCTCGTGTTCGGTGGTGTCGATGACACGTGTGATGCCGCTGCCTGTCGAGGG